AACACTTCCTTTATGTTTCGCTTGAAATACCAGGCTTTTGAGTGACTCAAGCTAAACTTCGATGCTGGAATCTGAAGACAAAGCGGGCGTCTGGGGTCGCTCACCTCACAGGCCCAGCGGAGACAGGAAGCGCTGGGCTCAGGGGAGGCCACATCCGGTCTTCTTTCTCCCACGCGCCGTTTCCCCTGCCCCCACCCTCAGCCGGACTCGCTCCAGCAGCTTCACCCTCTGCAAACTAGGGCGTTTGTGGACCAGCTGCTCCCCGTACCTGCAGGTCTTTGCACCTGCCTCTGCTTCAGCCGACAAACCTGCATCAGAAATACGTTTGCAAGGCGCCGGCCACCCAAAACGGGCAACTTTCTACCTTCGTTCTAGTCTGAATTCAGTGCAAACATAAATTTTCCTGCGAGTCTTACACGGCCTGACTTGGAGCCTCAGAGAGCCTCTGGGGAAGCGAGTGGTGTTTTGGAGTCAAAGCTCCCCCTGGCTCCTCTCCCCACTGCAGCTTTACCTCCAGCAGAGAGGAACTCCTCAGGTGTAGGCACAGAACAAATGAACGCCATTAGGAACAGTTATGAAGAGGAACAGTCTGCATTTTGCACCAAGTACGTTCAGGAAAAATGCCCCAGGGCCGTGTTAGGATGGGGTCTCCCGTCCTTCCTTGGGTTTGACACCAGTGAGCAGCCCAGATGAGGGGGTGTTTAGAAAGCTGGAACTGGGGACGGTTCCAAAGGGATCAGGCAGGGCTCTGCCAGCTGGCCTGCTGCGGTGAACGTGTCACTAAGGGCAGCATGTGGGACACAGAGGGCCTCCCCCACCCCCCTTACAGGCCCAACGGAGGAGGAGGAGGAGGAGGAGGAGGAGGAAATCTGTTCTCTGCCAAAGCTTTTGGCCCCTTGGCTCTGAGGACAAAGGCACATGGGGGCCTTTCTAAGTTTGTGCTCTACCTTTTGTGGCCCAGTGATGTCCCCAGCTAATGGGAGATCATTTAAGTAAATGTCACTACACCATCTGGACGAAGACAGAGTATTTAAATCAGGGCCTAATGGATGCAACTCTGGACAAAGTGGCTGCCGAGTGCCAATTTGCAGCCTTTGCACTTTAATTCCGGGTCTCAGAGGGCGTTGGCAACAGCCTACCACCTGCCCTTCCCAGAAAAGTTGAGCAGAGGCCAGGGAGGAGAGGGCAAGGTCTCTAGACACGGTGGGCAGAGGCAGAGGCTGGACCTCCTCCCTGCCCTGGACACGGGCCGGTAGCCCCCGAGCTAGTCCTGCTGTCTCCGCTGTGGGTCGGGCCTCCCCCACGCCTTCCCGCAGTCAGAGTCCCGCCTCTATCTTTGCAGCAGCAATTCAAAATTTGATCTCCAGGCTGTCCCGTGGATTTCACAATTACAGGGATCCCTTTCGCTTTAATAAAAAAAGGAGGGGGGAGGGCATACTTGAACCCCTGCCTCTGCCCACTTCGCTTTCCTTCTTAGTGTTAGGGACCCAGTCCCTCTCCCCGGGCACGGCTTCTCCACTAGGGGGCGGCACCGGCCCTGTGCGCCGAGCTGGCCGGCGGGGCGCAGCCGGCAGGTGGGGGGAGAGGCCGAGCCGCGCCCGGGACGCCCCGGGCGAGGAGCTTCCCTGACCTACGTGAGGAGCCTGACCGACAGGTCGGCTGGGTCTCCGAACCTCTGAGTCATAAGTTTCCGAGCCTCACCGAGGCGGCCTTTCAGAACGCACCAGAAAACAATTGTCCGCTCTGCAGCGTGGCGGGCCACCTGTTTCCAGCCCCAGTGGGGGCAGAAGTGAGTCATCAGAAGGTTCAGGTGCATGGCAGGGCGAGGTGCCAACACCCCCAAAAACGCTTGCACCAAGTAGGTGAATAAAGATGAGACGGGCGGGCAGCGTTTCAGACCCGGTGAGCTCACTGTAAGCTCCTATCAACGTAACAGGGTCGCCAGCACGGGGCCTGAACCAAGCTCTGGCCCAGGGCTAATGATTGCTAACGGCTGCCTCGTTGACCACCTGCTTGCCCAGTGGCTTTGTTTTCTCACAGCAGCACCCCAAGGCCGTGGAGTCCTCTCCACAACCCAGAAACAGTCCCAGAGAGGCGGGCTCAGTGTCCCCAATCAGCACACCCAGCTCCCAGGCGCTGGCCAGGTCCTTCAGGGAAGGAAGGTTCTGAGTCAGGCAGGTGGAAACATTCCATTTCTTGCACAGACTGACTGAAATAAGACAAAGCCCAGAAAGAACATGCTGGAAACTTTCTTCCTAGATTAACCTTTTGCTGACAGGTAGACAATGGGGCCTCAGGACGGTAATGGAGTCACCTTTTTCCCTTTACCACAATCTCTCACTGAGAACCATGACTTCCTGGCTCCCTGACCTCCTTGTCCCCAGCCCTGACGGCAGCAGCCTTCACTGAGGCGTTGCTGAAGGTCTTGCTTTCCAGGCCAGTCACATCCGTGTGTGGGAGGAGGCTAAGGCCGCAGTGAGGTCTGGCCTCTCCCTGGTGGCCTCAGCTCCCACCCTCAGCAAGTGAGTCAACCCTTAGCAAGACTGCTCGGTTCACAGTCGGTGTTCTGAAGAGCCTTAGGCAATAAAGAGGTGTGGGCACAAACCAATCATGTTTCCCCAGAGGCCTGGTGAGAGTTTCAACGCTGGCTATGGAAACAGGGCCTCCCAGGGCATGCATCCGGGGGTGCAAGGCACGAGGCCCCCACCCTTCAGCGTTGCACAGTCTGCAGCTTCTCAGAAACCAGAGATTATTCCAGCCAAGCTTCCCAGGGTGGGCTTGAGCATTGTGACACCAGACTGCCAATGAAACGCAAACATGCTCCAATTTCTCACCCCCGCCCCCAACACGCGACAATAGGGTCCCTGGAAACCTAGAGTAGCTGCCAGCTGAATTTACATGCAAAAAGCATTTCCTGGTCCTAAGAAACCTCCCCAAATTCCTGGACTGAGTCCACCCGGACCCCACTTCACCCCCGTGGGTGGGGGTGGTAGCTAGAGCTACCTAGATCAAAGGCCCCTCCCTAGCAGATGGCGACTACAGTGAACCTGTCTTAGGGTGCAGAGCGGAGCCCAGCCCCAGGGAATCCGACTGCTTCCGTGACGCGGGGTACCTCTGTGTAATAAAACAGTCCCATGATACCCTGCCAGAAGTTATACTTTTATTTAACATTTAAAGGATTAACATATAGTTACAAGGTCAATATAAGCCTTCCAATGGAACACTTTATTTGGTTTAATTCTATCTCCA